GAATTCTCATCTTCTCCTTCTTCCTCGTCGTCACCTGGAGTGAGGACCAGACTAGCTTGCATGGATCCAGAGAGGGCTTGTGCGGCTCTTTCCCTCACTGCAGCTTCGCTGGTATCCACGCTCCACTCCACATTCTCATCCGCATCCTTTCCCGTCTTGGCGATGGGCGTATCTTTGGCCTCCTTGGCGATCTGTTTGGCCATCTCATCGTCATCCTCCTCATCGCTTGCCACCCCTTCTTCACCAGCTTCCACACTTTGACCCGCCGATTTTCCAGCGCCCTTGCTACCTTTGGCCTTCTTCGGAGGCGGGTTCTTGGTGATGAAAGTGGTCAACTTGTGCCTCATATCCACATCGCTCCTCTTCCCACAAGCCTTGCAATCCCGAATGATCATTCCATCCTTCATGATTTTCAGATCCGTTTCCGGATTCTTGCAAGATCCGCACAGGACAAATTTGGTGATGAAATCGTCGAGCAGCTTCCTGAGGGCATCGGCTTGGTGCGCTCCATTCACAATGTATCGATCATTCTTGTCGTCCACTTGCGTTTGCGCGCCCAATTCGAACCCGAAAAACTTGGTGGGATACGTTGCAGGTCGACTTAGGGCTCGAGCAATGTCGGACATGTTGGGCACGACCGTCTTGATACCGTTACCCCTGCCTTCGATCTTGGTCTGCAACAAGGGCATGCGGTAGCGGTAGAATTGATCCTCCACATCTCGTCGAATATTGACCACCGCCATGTTGGGCACAGGCGATGTGTTGTTGTTGGAGAAGAGTGTGGATGCGACTGCCGTAAAGGGAAAGCAGTGCAAAGACCGGGGAAGAAAGGGCAAGGCGTGGCTTTTAGTGGGAGGATGGGAGCATCAGGTCAGATGTGACTCTGTGCTGTGTTGGACAACGCAGCGATGCGTTGATGGGTGGATCGGCAGGACCCGTTAAGAATCGTGCGGATCGAATAGTAAGATGCGATTAGGAGTATTTTCGGAATGATGGGGATTGCGATAGAAAAGCATAGGCAGAAGCTTGCTTTTCCTTTCCTTGGCGTGGGCAGAAGGGTTGCAAGTGGATTCAGTGAGGACTTTCCTTTCTTAACAGGTCGGTCTAAGCGGTGCTTTGATGTGATGAGTTGGTGGTGGGAGTGAGTGGGTGGATGGATGGATGCGTGAATTGGAGAAGGGGGGGGGCAGATGTCTGACGACAGTCAACCTCGTGACTACAATAAGCGAGTTTGAATGAGGCTATGCGCCCAAGTCAGTGGATGGATCGAGTGCAATGCAAGGTGAGACAGCACGCTTGTGACGTGGACTCTTGGCTCGAGCAGTCGTGAGTGTGGTGTATGAGCGCGCAGGCTGGATGGGGTGAGAGTGAGAGGGGAAGAGGAAATCGTGAGAGAAATCAAGGCGTAGGATGCCGATGCAGCAGCAGCGATTGTAGCTGCACATGTGTGCGTGAGTGCCTGCCTGC